ACTGGGGGGCAAAAGAAATGAAGGATACACTTCCAAACTATCTGCAGCTACTAATGTTTTATTTTTTAAATGAAGGACACTCTTTCAAACTATCTGTTATCACTGTTATCATTACCTAGTTCGTAAGCTGATTGGAAAGTCTTTCGGGAGTATTGGATGGCATAATCAAACCGTCCTTCTGGCGGAGAATGAAACCTGCTTGAATGTATGTTTAGTCAGAAAGAAAAGCTAATTCACTGTTCTGAACTTATAATCAACCTCTTTGACTTCTTTCTCCAGTTATTAACCGTTATTTGTTTGATTTTCAATAATATTAACAGTTAAATAGAGTATAAAGCCACAGCTAATTTACACAAACATATTTATGTATACACGCGGAAATACGACAGCCAAGAATACTTAGTTTCCTTCGGAGAATCTCTCTTGGGTCTTAAAGAGGTTCATTTCCAGTTTTATGGTTTTAGTTTCTCAGAATATACTATTATTATCCATATAAAATATTATATTCATGTTTATAGTGAATAGCTTAGTTTTGTGTATGCATGAACCTACACTTAATTTTACGATTGGGAAAAATAAAACGAAAGTCTACGCGTGTAGCACCATTTTGTTAACAAGTTATTTCCCAGCGGACAATGAATAAATCATAGAACTTACCCGAAATTATTTCATTACGATTAAATGCTTCGGTTGATTTTAAACTAAAAAGTGTTTATATAGAGTCTAGGAAATATCAAAAGTTTATTTTATTTACTGATGTACTGCTATCAACGTCCGTAAAAATCAAAATACAATGGGGGGAGGTTTAGATGCACTTTGTAAGGATGATTTGCATACTCCAGTGCAATGAAATGTCGCCACAGATGCGAGTCGTGGCGCCACAAGTGACATCTGTACATTTGCCTCACGGCGAGTTCCAGTGTAGTCAATAAGAAGGATCTTCATATAATGAGTAGACTGTTAAAAGACATAACATTTCGAAAATGGACGTCTAAATGTTCTTTTTAGAAGTAAAAGAACTCGCAACCGGAGCGTTTAAAACAGCAACAGTCAATCTGTAACAACATTGACGCCCGCAAAGTAGAGGGAGAAGAACCACCCGACTCCAATAGCCAATGTGATGAAGCTGGGTATAAATTCAGGTATATTTAACAAGACTGGGGATTGAGGAAAGCTCACAAGTTTCCAGTCACATCTAAAAAGCAATGGCTATTTTATTGTGAAAACATCCTTGTTATAAAGTATGGTTAACCCTCATTATATAGTGTTTGAATGACTGTGCACCAGAAACGAGTGTTTTTGCTGAAAGTGTGGGAATTGAGGTGTTTGCGTGTTTTTATGTATCGTCTGAATGAATGTGTACCGAGTTAATGGGGATAATACTGTTCTTTTGTTTGTCTGGCAGATAAAATTGTGCAAGAACGGATAGTTTGGGTGTCATACGGACGAGAGCGTAAAACAAGAGTATATTTGTCGTGTTTGAAGGGACGAATAAAAGCAATGTATATTTATTCATGATTACGAGGAACCCACTTGAAGTAAATATATATATATATAGTAGAGACGGCTGATATGGGTATTAAAACCTTTTATTTAAAAACACAAAACAAGTAACAACGTTTCGACCTCCTTAGATCATCATCAGGTTAACCTCAGGAGGTCGAAAGGTTTTTAATACCCATAACAGCATCTCTACCATATAAGGTATATTAATATTTCTTTTTTTTTCTGAATTTTCACATACTTATCTATAATATGGGTAAAAGAATATAAGATTGGAGTATTTTATGTGTCATCTGAATAAAAGTGTATAAGTTATGTGTTTTATCATTTTGATTAATGTGCAAATGCTTGTTTTTTCTAGATTAAAACACGTGGCATTTCTCGTATAAAATAGTGTAACATTGTTCCTTGTTATAACGTAATGTCGTTTCAAACGCACCAGCTGAAAATTACAAAGTCAAGCAGAATAAAATATACTTAAGCACAGGTCAGGTTTTTAAATTAATAGTGGAGTTTTTTACATATTTGTTTGTGTCGACTCAAAGGCAATGTTTTATCTAGCCATTTAATTCGATTTAATTAAGATAGTCAGATTTCCTGGAAGGAAGTTCATTTCTTTAATAGATAGAACGCGTCAAGTATAATATTAAGTACTATCATTCATTACGTGCCCGGTTTGTTAACAGACGAAAGACATACTTCATTTCGAAATCTTTCTAGGGTAAATAATTCAATTAATAACAGAATGCAGTTTTGTAGAAAAGAATAAGAATTGATGTGAGGTGAATCTTCGTGTTTGACTATGCATGAGTGGCTGGCATGTAAGTGATCACTTTGAGTTAGTTATAGATATTTATAAAGATTATATGAAAAATCCTAGTTACGTTACACACGCAAGTACAAGGAGTTATATACTCTCTTTATAAACATGGACGTGTTCTTTTGAAGTACGATAAATAAAAAATAACTCTTGTTATTTACCTACATTTTGATAAACTCAGTCTTCTGTTTATCATACTCCTTCAAACTATCTGCTATTACTACGTTTTATAAACATGTCGGTATTCTTTTTAAATACAATAAATAAAAAATAACTTTTGTTATTAACCTACATATTTGATAAATTTCAGGTTTCCGTGTACCATAGTTTTGACGTCTGTCTTTAAAAATAGTCACATGAAAAAGTTGAAAGTACTGCAATGTTTGGTTCAAGAACACACACACACCCTTATTCTTAAGATTTTATTCAGCACCAGTAAATGATAACGTCTCTTATCATTTGGCTAAATACTAGACCCAAACTATTATAAAGAAATGCAATGGTTTTCATGAAATAAAATCGAATTATACCCTGGACCCACATTCAAACTAACCTAACGATTATAAGCTACTCAACAATAACATCCGAACGGGGAATTATAAAGTTCGCCTTTACTAACTTTAGATTATATATCTCAACGTGCAAATTAATCACCTTCCTGTGGCTTAGTGGTAAGCTTGAGGGTTAATGGCGCAAAATTTCAGGGTTCAATCCCTGCGGTTGGCACAGCACAGATAGTCCATTATGTACCTTTGTGGTTAACAGCAAACGGAGAGGCAAGCTAAGCTGAGGACATGAAGTGTTTACTGTAAACTAATAGCATAGCTTATACGCAAAATTACGTTTGAGAATAAAAATGTAAGGTTATAGAGAAAACTGGAAAACGCTACACAAAAAATGAACTCGAAAATGTAATATAGACGCAGATAACGTGAAAATGTAAACGACAAAAAAAAATGTGTCAATGTGTAAACTACACACAAACTAACTCCTGAGTGCAAACTAGCCAAAGAATATTAGTTGAAATAAAACTGATCGATAAACTCAATGTGTTAAATTATACGCTCACTAACGATCGAATGCTTACAGAACATCAAACAATGTAAATTACAAGTTCACAGGAAAATTTTAACTTCTATCTACATGGACATGATCATGAGAATATCAGCTACATGAAAACTAACCATAAATATAAAATAAGCTTCAAGCAAACTAACCTACAAGTATGAACTACATGAAAAGCAACCAGAAAGTGCTAAATGTATAGTAAACTAACCATAAATATAAAATATGCTTCATGCAAGCTAACCTACAAGTATGAACTACACGAAAAGCAACCAGAAAGTGCTAAATGTATAGTAAACTAACCATAAATATAAAATAAGCTTTCTGCAAACTAACCTACAAGTATGAACTACATGAAAAGCAACCATAAAGTACTAAATGTATAGTAAACTAACAGTAAATATAAAATAAGCTTCATGCAAGCCAACCTACAAGTATGAACTACATGAAAAGCAACCATAAAGTACTAAATGTATAGTAAACTAACAGTAAATATAAAATAAGCTTCATGCAAGCTAACCTACAAGTATGAACTACATGAAAAGCAACCATAAAGTACTAAATGTATAGTAAACTAACAGTAAATATAAAATAAGCTTCATGCAAGCTAACCTACAAGTATGAACTACATGAAAAGCAACCATAAAGTACTATATGTATAGTAAACTAACAGTAAATATAAATAAGCTTCATGCAAGCTAACCTACAAGTATGAAGTACATGAAAAGCAACCATAAAGTACTAAATGTATAGTAAACTAACCATAAATATAAAATAAGCTTCATGCAAACTAACCTACAAGTATGAAGTACATGAAAAGCAACCATAAAGTACTAAATGTATAGTAAGCTAACAGTAAATATAAAATAAGCTTCATGCAAGTTAGCCTACAAGTATGAACTACATGAAAACTAAACTGAAAATACCGGCTATAAGACAATTAACTACACGCAAAGTAGCATAAAAGTATGAACTACATGCAAATTATTAACTCAATAATAATAACTGCAAGTGTAATTTAAGTACAAACTAACCGTACGTTATTTTCACTAAGTGTTTTTTTCTTTGAATATCCTGCTTGGAATAGCTTGATTTTTTATTATAAAGATTGAAAACACATTTCTTTAATAAAGGAAGCTAAGAAGAAAACTTCCCAGAAACATCGAAATTAATTAATATTAAAATGTAAATTACGTATCAAATTGAAGTATGAAAATGATTATTTAATCACTTTAGCAATGACTCAACTGACCACTATACCTTAAAAAATATTAACTAGGTTTTGCTGCATGTTGAAATGTACAACGTAAATGCTTAACTCATTATTCAAAAACTTAATTTTACGCTATCGATGGAGTCAAAAATGCGATTAAAATTTTATTGAACTTCGTAAACGTCTGTTACAATTATAAGTAAAATATTGTTCGATCTCTTCAATGACGTTTTACGTCCCTTTTTTATGGACATAAAAAATATTTTTGAGACTTTCCTACTGAACGAACTACAACTTAACGTTAGCACAAGTTTATGGTTGAGTTCAGAACCAATATTAGTTTCAAATTTTGTACGTCCGTTTAGTTATAATAGCAGCTTTTCAGATGTGCAACGAAAAATATTTATAGAATGAATGAGCTAAAAGTATAAAGAAAATACAAGAACTGATGTAAAACCAGCCAATAACTGTGTATAGTATCAGGAAAATATCTGATAAAACTATTATAGTGAAGAGTGAGAAAAAGAATTTAATGAAAAGCTGTTGTATTACTAGGGTATTTGGAAAATAAAAGAGAAAAAATACGCTTTCCTTTTTGGATAGAAGAGCGATGCAACTTTTTAAAAATTATTTTGTGGTTGAAATTTTCGAACCAAAAAAAGATAGCCTGGAGGAATGTGTAATAAAAATACTTAACCAAAGTATGGATAGAATATTTCAAGCTAAGAAAATCGTGAATTTTTCCACCAGGGATCGCTATAGTTACATAAATGTTTGAAGTCTTCTCACACTTTTATTTATAGATTAAGTTCTAGTCACAAACGACAGAGGATAAAACGATTGTTTTTTGTGTATGTCACATAGAATCGCCTAAACACATCTATCACTACATTATGTAGAACCAAGACGTCTTACCACATCAATCAACTGCTGTAAGGTTACACCAAAACTAAGCAACAGAGGATCAGACTCATTGGCTACCGGTCTTTCCATAACATTGTAGTCTCGAAGTAAGTCATTGAGAAGTCTTCGTTCATGAGGGCCTTGTGCCGAGCCTAAAAAATATGAAAATATTAATTTTATAACTCTTAAACTAGTTTCTTAGTTATTCTAAACTGTTTCTAACAGCTAGCTAGATCTTTATTTATAAAGAAAGTTTTTGACACTATATAACTCGAAAATATACAAAAAGGTAAACTCTTTTTCACGATTCGAAGTAAATTAGTGGAAATAAAGTTTTTCACAGCTAGTTTGAAAGCGTAAAAAATGTATACGTACCTAAGTTTTTTTAAATTGAGTTAAAGTCTAAGTTTTCTATTTCGATAAAGTAGTTTCATGAAGTTTGATTAATGGTTTGCTTAAAATGCTGAATGAATCAGTAATATTTCAACAAAAATGTGACTGGATCTTGGATGTAATTCACATTAAGAGCGCTAATATGAAGCTTATAATTAGATTTTATATCTTACATGCAGCTCATCAGGTCTAATCGATTAAGCGTAATAAGATTAAAAGCAGCTCAATTCAGTTTTAATTTACGTAAGTTTTGTTTTGGTTTTGAACTAAGCTCTGAAATCGTGCTGCCAGATGGCTTTTAAGATTGACAAGTTTGCTTGAACTAATTCAAAATTGTTTCAGTATTTTAGTTATTGAGAAAAGTAATATTGTAATATATAACATTAAAGTTACTCGGATAGAAATGTCCCGATGGAGCTCGAATGTATACTAGGTTGCTAGCATTATGTAAATACTAGCGTGAAATGTATAATAGCCTGTATTAACACTTTATTTATATGCCGTTTTAAACAACACAACCGATAAATCTTAAATAAGGTGCTACAAGTAAATATAGTACAGAAAGGAAACATGCATAAATCTACATGTAGGATATTGAATAGAAATGGACGTCAGGCGAAAGAATTTGGTACGTGCATTCAAGTAAAAATATATTTGTAGTGGAATACATATATGAATACTTAAATAAAAAAATGTACAATATATATATATATATATTGTGTGTGTGTGTGTGTATGCAATGAACATTGGTTACACATGAAGAAATATGAAGTATTAGATTGGTTGTATTATTTTGTATGCGAGAACACTGATATGTGTTATATTACATCGCTATGTGTATCCAGGTGTGTGATATATGCAGATATATAAACCCATCTCCTTCCCAAGGGAACAAATGACGCCACCATGTTTGAATTTACCTAGCATTAAACAATGGCTACTCTTTAGGGATTCGAAAGCTTATATTCTAGAAAAAGTCAGAAAAATTGCGTGATATTATACAGCTTTAACCAATAGAATATATATATATTTGTAAGGCATTCCCGTTCAATAAAATGTTAATATCTAAGGCAAGAGCTACATGTAATAATTATGATAAAAAGATAAGGCAATGCGATAGTTTCTACGAATGAATGAACTTGGCAGTAATTTAGGTTTTAAATTTCACGAGCCCCGAAGGGGCTTGAGAGACAACCTGATGCGCTCATAAACTGTTGTTTCTCTTCAACCCCTACACTGATTTGAGAATTAGATCTACTGGAGTGTGATCAGACTTAGAGGTATCATGGTGGGTATGATGACTTCTGATAGTTCTGCTTATTTGGATGAGTGACTAGGGTTTTAAGATTAATTTCTATGTTGGGAGGGTAACACTATCTAATAATTTCTACTGATCTGTATTTCAATTATATAGATGTTAGTGTATGTACATTTCATGAGTGATTAATTTTTCGTTGTCCAGTGTAAGCCTTCTGAAGTCTATTTTACCCGTCACACTGCCTCTTGAGCCTTAGACCCAAAGTATGCATGACGTGAGTCAAGATTCGTGAGTACCTGAGTTACGTGGAGGCAGCAAAATTCCATTAGACACGTAAATTAGAGATACACACAAAAAAAACAAAACACGTATCAACATTATACCACGCACATAAAAACACCTATACCTGTTAACTTGGTTAACGAAACGAATTAGCCTCACTAAAAGGATTTACTCGTGAAATAAGTTTCAACTCTAAAGATCATCAATTTGTAAATCTGTGATCAAACAAAGTAGTTGGGCTTTTCTATAAATGACGAAAAAATATTTTGCGTTTATCACAAAAGCTTCAACTAATCGTCTATGATACCTTTCTGAAAGTTTGGGGTGGGTTCTTGTTCTGGTAATTGAAAATAAAATTACATGGAGATCTAAGTGAAACTTAGAAATTACTACAGTTTAATTAAGGGAACTATGAATTATTGATTGCACTTTAAGTATGCTAAATCCTTAAGTTATAATCTTCCTGTCACTACACTGTCCAGCTTTGGTGAAATGTTTTCTTTAGTATTTTCCGTTATGAAACAAGAAAATTAAATACTTTTAAGTACTAACTAAAGCATAGGAATGGGAATGTTTGAGGAATGGATCCATCTCCAGAAACTCTACTATCTGTAGAGTTGATTCACACGCAAGAAACACTGTGTTGGATCTTCATACACTAACCGTTATCTTTTGTATGTTTTGAAATTAAATTCACAATATAAGTAGAAAATAATAAACGTAGATAAGTAGGCTTAGCGCAATTTCCTATGTGTGTAGTACTCTCAAATCACGATATTAACTTGTGTCAAACTTAATGGAGGTGGTAAAGCTGTGAAGCTACGTTCATAACACTTTAGTAATATCTTTAAACAATGATTCTGAGAAACAGCCTTCGTATTGCAGCAAAAACGTACATTTATCGGGCTAATTGTTTTACAAATGATACCTTATGTAGTGTTTTTGTCGTAGTCACGTTATCGTACGAGAGTCATTTTTCTTTCGTTTCCAACTGAAACTAGAAGAACGATAAGAATTGTGAAGCTCTTTCTATCGAAAATATCAATTGTATTCATTCACATAGAGTAAAACATATTGATCATGAAAAGCTTACGTTATTGGACTGTCAGATTTGTGGCAATAGGCCACGTTAGAATAGTTAGGTCGCTTGATTGACAACTGGCATAATTTGACAACACGTCTTGTAGCGTGAAATCTTAAAGAAATACACTCTGAAAATGTAGTTTTTTTTTCTTTCAAAACAGAAGCGTTCCAAGCAATACAACAGCATCAACTGTCAGGTTTTGAAGATTAGTACGTAAGTTACATGACACTAAATAAACTTATAAAAGTGAATGGTCTTATGCCGGAAAAATAATCATACTTTATCATATGCTATTCTCCCGCATGGAAAAACTATTATGTTTTTGACATCCTTATTCTCTTCTTAAAGCTGGTTTTATAATGTGAAAACCTGAGAAGCTGACTGATCGCACAAGAAGTTTATAAGCCATCAGAAAATGGGTCCCTTCAGCTGAGAAATAATAGTCTTAGAGTAATAAGAGAGAGGGGGTGGAGTTCAAAGTTACCGCACATCAACAAACCTTCACGACGAGTAAAGCCAGTTGTTCCGTGCCGCATAAACACCGAACAATTCCCATCCCGCTCAGTTGGATCAAGGACGAGAATGTTAAAACAGTAACAGAAAGTGTTATCCCTTGATCACCACGTTTTAATACCTTTCTTTCATAAACATGTTGGCACGTAACGGCCCATTACTCTTCCTATGTCTATAGCTAGGGAGGATTCTAACGAACTTGCGTTTCATGAGAAGTCTAGAAATATTACTTTTAGTATTGATGTTGACAAACAAAATTATCATTGTATCCTAATGTACGTGCACCCATAAATCATTATTCTTTAATAGATTTTACTTTTAACTGCTAAGTAAAATATTATGCGTTATAGAGTATCAGAAAAATTGTTTGTATGATTTTACTTTTATATTATTTCCCGAATTACTTTATTTTACCTAAATTGATTCTGCAGGTCCAGACAAAGATCTCTGACTTAAAAAAAATCTGGCCTGAACTCTTGCAAATTTCTGAAATGTATGCATAATTATAATAACTTATAGTATATTAAAATAACGCTTTAACTAGGCCTTCTTACAAAAGAAACTGTTGATAATAAATCATACGTAACCGAGGGGAGGATCAAACTCAGCATACTTCAACAAGAAGAATATTTCGTTTCAAAGTTCGAATTAGTTTTGCAGAAAATATGCTATCATTTCCGTATGTCTTTTTCGACAAATCTGTTGAACTCGGGCCATTGGCTATTCGATTCCGGATACGACAAAGAATAAGCTCTGGAGTCTTTCCATTCTAAGCACCTTAGAAAATCTAATTGATTATCCGTATGTCTTTTTCGACAAATCTGTTGAACTCAGGCCATTGGCTATTCGATTCCGGATACGACAAAGAATAAGCTCTGGAGTCTTTCCATTCTAAGCACCTTAGAAAATCTAATTGATTATTCTTTTCTTTACTGGACGCGAACATATGTCATATTTATATGTCATAAGTTACAGTTGAATGTGAACACGTTGTTGGTGCTATTTTGTATGTGTTGTTTTATACAAAACGTGGTAAATAAAACCGATGAAACTATCTACGCTACTCTCTCTATATATATTAAAAGAAACAAATAACTAGTTTTCTTTACACTCGATGCAGACTAGACCTGCCATGCAAGTAATTTTACCTCTATTTTCAGCTTTACTTGTTTGTAGTTAAGCCCAAAGCTACACGATGGGCTATCTGTGCTCTGCCCATCACGGGTATCGAAACCCGGTTTTTAGCGTTGTAAGTCCGCAGACATACCGCTGAGCCACTGGGGGTAGAGGGACTTCAGTTTTAATACAATCCCAAAGTTTAGTTTTTGTGTTAAGGAATTTTACATGGAAGAAATGGATGTCTAGTGAAAATCAGTTAGTACCTTAGTTTTACTTTTGTTTGCGAGGTTTCGTTGTAAAACTATACACAAATGACAGATCTAATTAAATATCTGTCCAATAAGATAAGTCACTAATGCGTCTGGATAAAACTATTTGAAGTCTTAAACTAAGCTCTGATAACAGATTATAGTTATTATCCAAATTTGTACGAGGACCTTCGTTTTGGTACAATGAATGAATCTTAGAATAGTGTTTTCAGTTTCAATGATGTAAAAAAGTAT